GGGGTGGGGGGGGGGGGAGAGAAGGAAAATATATTGTTCATGTATTTTATCTAGCAACAATCTAATCTAAAAATCAAAACGAACAATAAATCTAATGAACAAAATAAACTGGTGAATAAAATATAATCAGAGGCACAGAACATGGAATGGACTGATGAATCTCGGAGGGAAGGGGCGTGGGTGTGGAAGAGATAACCAAAGATCTTACCTATGAACAGGACAGTAGGGTCGTGAAGGCCTGGGGTGGGGCAGGAACCGGGTGGAGGGGGGCCATTGGGGGGGGAAGGGGGGCCTCTGTAATACTCTCAATAATAAAGATTTAAAAAGAAAAAAGTGAATTGTAAATCAGTGTTACTCTGTAGTTAATCTTGTAATCTAACAAGTATTGTAGATATACAGAGTCAACTCATTTAAAACCATGTTTGCCACATACATTAGAAATCTGGCCAATTCATCTTATAAACTCAGTAATTCATTTTTTTTCAAATATATTTTATCGACCCTCCACAGAGAGGAAGGGAGAGGGACAGAGAGCCAGAAACATCCACGAGAGAGAAACATCCATCAGCTGCCTCCTGCACACCCCCCACTGGGGATGTGTCCACAACCAAGGCACAGGCCCCTGACCGGAACCGAACCCAGGACTCCCCAGTCCACAGGCCGACGCCCCAGCCACTGAGCCAAAATGGCCAGGGCTCATTTTTTATTTTAATGTATATATGTTTTTATTGCTTTCAGAGAGAAAAGGAGAGGGAGAGAGAGAGAAACATCAATGATGAGAGAGAATCATTGAGATAATGCTTCCTGCACGTCCCCTATTGGGAACTGAGCCCACAACCTGGGCACGTGCCCTTGACTGGAATTGAACCTGGGACCCTTTGGTCCACAGGCCGATGCTATCCACTGAGCAAAACCGGCCAGGGCAGGAATTCCTCATTTAAAAATTTTTTTTAAGAGAGCAGGAGAGCCAAACCGATTTGGCTCAGTGGATAGAGCTTCGGCCTGCGGACTGAAGGGTTCCAGGTTCGATTCCGGTCAAGGGCATGTACCTTGGTTGGTCGCATCCCCAGTGGGGGGGTGTGCAGGAGGCAGCTGATGGATCTTTCTCTCTCATTGGTGTTTCTAGCTTTTTCCCTTCCTCTATAAAAAACCAATAAAATATATTTTTTAAAAAAAGGGAGAGACACATCAACTGGTTGCCTCCTGCATGCGCTCTGACCAGGGTCTGGCTGGGGAGGAGCCTGCAACCAAGGTACCTGCCCTTGACCAGAACTGAACCCGGGACCCTTCAGTCCACAGGCTGACGCTCTATCCACTGAGCCACACTGGCTAGGGCGCCTCCCATTTTAGATGTGACAATTTAAGGAAACAAAGTGCATTAAACCCAGAAGCACCATTATCTTCCCAAACCCCGTGTCTTAACCTTGTTCTCATTACAGTCCTAAGAAAGCACAGACACCCAGGCCAGGAAAAGGAATGTGATTTGCTTAACGAGAGAGAGACCCCCAGCGCCGCCTGAGAACTGAGGTTTTTCAGTTTGCCATCTTTTCACTAAAAGAAGGCACAGATATTGCAATTAAATATAGTTGCAGAGAGTCAGCTACAGGAAATAGGTAAGAGAAAAAGAAGTTGATTCATATGGAACAGAAAGACTTGGGAGAAGGACTGGAATTGCAGGGGGAAAATTTATCTTATTTTAAAGTAACAAGACAACGCACTTTTTAAACCCGAAGTTTTTCCAGAGCTCGTTGATCTTCGTCTGCAGCCCCGGCTTGTTCTCGGCGTTGTGATGTTTCCTCTTCTGGCCTCTCGCTGGCCCCTTGCTCAGCCCACTGGCTCTCGCAGGCACCAGCGCTCTGATCTTGGTTGTAGAGAGACTGTCCAGAGAGCTAGATCTATACAGCCCAGGCACCTGAAGGATAAACGCCTGTTTTAATACTCCTTTGTTAAAGCAGCTATCTTTAGTTAATTTCAAACTGTCCTTTATACTCTGGAACAGAAACTCACGTAGGCAGCATGTAAAAATGTGCTATTTATAAATAGATACTACAAAAATTGTAATTTTAGCAGTTAATACACATAGCACCTAGCACTAAATTCAAGAACTAAGTGAGCCTCTCTCTGCCTTACTCCTTCATTGCCTCTAGGCAACTGCTGTCTGAATCCATTTAGTCGCTCCCCCCTTGTTTGTGGGGATCTGTTTCAAGACCCCAGTGGATGCCTGCAGCTGTGGACAGTACCTAACTGTAAATGCTATGTTGTTTCTTAAACACACACACCTATGATGTTTAACACCTTTCCCGTCTACACTAAGCCCTGACAGCCTGCAGCTGTAACTTGCAGTTTGAGGTGCGACAGCAAAACTAGCACAGATCCCTTTTCCTTCTTCACCATTTCACAGCAGAACATTCGTTGTCATAGATCTGAGCAGCCTGCACACATTTTTTCTTATTGAGCTGAGAACATTCACCTCTTCACTTTACAGCTTCGCTCTTAGCATATCTGGATTGTGATAGCATCACTACTGTCACGCTTTGGGGACATTAAGTAAAATAGGGGTGACTTGAACACAATCACTGAGATCACAGGACAGTTGGTCTGAGAGCAGAGATGACTACTAACCAGCTAATGGGTGGGTAGGGTTATGAATTGTTCATTTCTGTAATTTTCCATTTAATATTTTCAGACCATAGTTGACCATGAGTAACCAAAACAGCAGAAAGCAAAATCGTGGATAAGGGAACTACTATACGTACGTACACATGTATACACACACACACACACACACACACACACGGCAGCATAATACACACTACTGCGTACTGTGTTTTTCTCACTTAATATATCTTC